TGCACGTTATTAAAGGCAACCAGCTGCTTGTCAAAATATGGCCCGCTACCCTTACCTACCTCCCCCCCCCCCCCCCCCCCCCCCACACACACACACACACACACCGGTGGGAGACTTTAAGCCCAGCGCACATTTCTGCTGGCGTTTATTTGCTCATAATGTTGTATGCTACTGTGCACCTGTGACACATCAGGCACAGCTCCTAATACCTCTCCGTCCTCACATACCCTTCATGTGACTTCACCCTTTCTGTAACGATACCTCACCTCAACGTCATGGCCAGACGAGCAGAGGGGTCAATTGCCTTCCTGTAGCGGGTGTTCTTGCTGATCCTGTCAGCCAACAGCTCTAGCAGAGTGTCGAAGGTCCGCGGCGGCATTCTGATGAAGCTCAGATGAAATATCAATTTGATCATCTATGATAGGCACGTAATTGCATCTAAAGAGCATCACTCACTCTCTGTAGTAATCCAGATCGCGCGCTCGAAGCTCAGGAAGGAGGCGGCTTGCGTGGCCGGCGACTTCGCGAGAGCGCAAACACGGCAAAGCGGCGATGCACCATCGCCGCTTTTTTCTCGTCGGTATCCCTGTCGTCAGCGCAGACAGTGCTACAGACGATAGGATGGCTACAACCTCTTCCTCTTCACTCAATCCGTCAAAGAGATCCATTACATTAAATGTCAACCGGTCAACCTTTCGGTTTATCTTTTAAAGGGAACCAAAAGCGACGGCTGGGGGAAAGCGAAAACTAACGGGCGGGTAGACGACGACAGACGACGGCTCCCGTGGAGCCTGTGCGTGGAACCTCATACAGAACGAGAGCGTCCGAGAAGCGAGCCTGGCGACTCGTCGGTCGCTCAATCAGGTGTGAACACTGGTGGTCGCCAGTCGCTTGTCGCTAGTCGCCCCAGCGACTGTCCCAAGTCGCAAGTGTGAACGGGCCTTTAGAGTTGCAGCTGCGAAATTCGGAAAGCGAGTAGCAATCCCTTAAGCAAAAATCAAACATTTATTTGGAAATCAACTATTATTTTCAGACAACTCGAGGACTCAAGGTCTGTATGAGCTTTGGCAGATCAAATGTCAGCACCAGTTTTATGGACTTTCATTTAGTCCGACACAGACCTGTGCAACTGTCTTTTTTGCAAACACACACTTACAAACACAAATTACTTTTTTTATACATATTAAGACTTTGTAGTTTGACGTTTAAGTAAAATAAATACTTCTAAAAAAAACAGTCGAAACAGTTCTTAATTCAGCAACAAAAGTTTATTAGACATAAAATCAAAACAGCCTCTGAGGATCCGAGGTCTCGAAATGAAGAGATACGGTATCAAAATGTCTCCGGAACCAGAAATATTTCATTAAATTCTTTAAATTTGTTTGAATTTATTTAATAAAAAAACTGTTAAAAACTTGTACCAGTTGTTAGAGAATATCATTCCACGCGTGTGACTCAATATAAAATACATTCTCAGATAAGGCTGCAGCTGCACAAAACTCAAACTGAAGGATTGCTGAAATTTCTTTATCTGCACCTCAGCAAGAAGGAAGGAGTTTGTCATGCAGAATAAATTTAGAGGAACAGAATAATTCACAATAGAAAACACAAACGAGACATGCATTAAAAAAAAAAGAAATCAACCAGATTCCTCACATGCAATCACATGTGCATATACATACATGAAAAAAATATATTTCACGGTACACAAAACAGCACACTAATGGCAATCTGCACAAAAACAACATTTTGTCCAAATCTCAAATGCCAAGTTCTAAACAGATAGACCGATTAGTCTGCTGCACATTGAGGCAACAAAATATTGCCAAACTTCGAAGCTGACATGGGCACAAAGAAACATTCACTTTTCAAACAAGTGATCAAGAGAATTCGATCAATCTGCATTCAGAAAGGATTCAACGCTGACATAGTTCCATGCTATTGGCCCGAACCAGTACCTGCAGAGGTTGACCTCAAGCATTCCTTTGCTATAGCAAAGCAAACGAATGCTATTTTTAGCTTTCTTTTGCTATATAGTGACTTGCCCATCTGAAGTTACCTTAGGCCAAGCATAAAACTTCATCCCTATTCATTCCACTAAATCTTTTGTTAAAATTCAAGGGACATGAAAATCATTCTCTGATTTTCCTGTTTTGTACCATGCCTTGTCAGTAAACATTTCAGAACAGGCAGTAGGATTTTCCCAAACATTCGGCTAGCTGTCCAGTCGTTTGCAAGCACCAGATACGCCAGCACGACTATTCTGACAAGGTGCATTCTTTTTCTTTCGAAATGACTAGTGTAGCAGAGAAAAGATGAGCCATTGTAAAACATAAAATAAATAGTATTCCACTAAGATGCTAGTATGAAAAATCTGATAGCACAAAATGTGATGTTTCCTAAACTTCTTAAGGTCACAATGGTTGTAAAAAATATTCCATAAACCGCGACTCACCATGAAACCAACACCACCGACTTTACATAACAAATATAACAATTTAATGAGACGTTTCGTCTCCCATGCATGAGACGTTATCAGTGATGCCAAGCTGGCAGGAATGCCAACTTGGCATAGCTGATACCTCTCCTGTATTGCAGAAAAAATGACTCAAATTCAAGTATTATAGCCGTAACGTAAAGTCGGTGCAGTTTGTTTCATTACTATGAGGCAAAATGACCATGCCGATAACTATATTCAGGCTTGGGATGTAATCCGTCACAGGTAACAGGTTACTTATAATCTGTTACTTTTTAAAGTAATTTCTAACTGTCAAGTTATTTTCTTAGCAGCAATTTGCAATGTAATTTCATTACAATTATTGCTAACGGGTTACTTAAGGGGGGACACTGCCCAGAAAAAATAAATTCTGCAAAAAACGTTGATTTTTAAAAATTACATATTTACATCCCCCAACATCTAAAAAGTATTTTCAGAAATTTTCACTAGTTTACACTGCATAGCTAATTTTTTATAAATTATTTTCTGTCCACCAAAGCTAAAAAAAAGGTAGGGTTTGGAGCACTTTGAACACATTCTTCTCCATTCCACTTTTTGGTATAAATTCCATTTTAGTCAACCTATCGTTTGATAATGGCAATACAGACAAGGCTTGTTCTTCGCTTTTCCTGACTGAAATTTAATGAGGAATGCGGCTATGGAATGTTTTTGTCACTTTACAGTGCCTTCTATAAAAAAAATGTTGACATTTTGTCGAAGACAAAGAAGACCAAAAAGTTGACCAATTTTGCAAAAGAGAAAATTGATAGAAATAAATGAACTTTTACAAAAAGCTTTCCATAGCCCCACCTCCTAGGCATTCTGCTACATATCTAGCGAATAAAAATCTTGACTATTGTTATAGTTTTCCGACGATAGATTAACTAAACAATGTAGGCGTGTTGCTGATAAAAGCTGCCCTAATTTCCTTCCCGCTTAACCGAGACATGAAAATTTGTTATGCACCCTTTAGCATGACCACCAGCCTACCCTGTAAATTTCATTAATGTTAAGCCAAGGGTTCAAAAGTTGACCCTCCTAGGATGTGCCCCCTTAAATTACTCATTACTTTTAATGAACACAACACATAAGGTAAAGCAATATGAGTAGGCGATTTAACAGCGTATAGCTAGCAAGTTCAGCAAAATAAAAAAAAACATTGTGAAGAGAGTAGCCTAAAATAAAACACTTTTTTTAAAAACTGGTCACTAGAACCACAATAAAAATGTGCAAGGCCTATACAGATATGCAAAAAACAAAGATAAAGAAGACAATGCTGAGTAGGTTCTGCCTCTTTCTATCACATTTTTTTATCTTTTCCTGAATATGAGAAATGGAAAGTAGTATTGCAGAACATTTTTGAAAACATCAACATTGTTTTTATTGGTTTCTTGACAAGTGTCCGGTAAAAGTAATGTGAACGTAATTTCTAACATAACGAGTAAAGTGATCCGTTACTTTTCAGCAAAAGAAATTTGTAATGGTTATCACTTACATTTGAGCCTCAGTAATTTGTAATTGTAATCCATTATATTTTTCAAGTAATGATCACACTCACTGATAGTACTCTCAAGCACTCCTTTTCGCAGTGATCCAGCCCTTTTAGTAATTTGAACCAGAGCTTGTGAACTTGAATAGTTTTAGGGCTATATAGAAGCAGCAACAAAACGAGCAACTCAACATAAAAATTAATCCTTTAGAGTCTAGTGCAAGGATGCACTGCGCGAAAGTCAGATATGCAGGAATGCAGTCTACCTATAGGTGGTGCTTCTTTACAGTGCACAAGCACTTAGCGACCTCAACTTGGTTGTACAAAACGCCCAAACTGACCGCGAAAATGAGAAATGCTCCAGATTTTCCAAGGATATTGTGTGTTTGAGGCGAGTAGCAAACCGAACAGTATGCTATTTAAACTGACAGTAAAATGCTTAAACATTCACACCTCTATTGTAATAAACAGCAGTGTAGCGGAGCAAAAATAAATTTGATGCGAATGGTCCAGCGGTGACATCACCAAGCATACTCCCACTGTCAGCTGGCAAAGATTGATCAAGTCCCAAAAAAAGGTTGAAATCAAAGCTTACATTGGTATTGCTCATTGTTTGTAGAATGCTCATCAACAGCAGCGAGGCAGTAAGGCAATGCCTAGTAGAGGAAAGTAGTTTATTTGTGATTCACTGAATCCACAAAGAACGAGGGACAGTAACTGACACATTTCTTTTTACAACTTCAGGCAATTCAACTTGGAGCAAAGTGGAAGAACTAGGTTAACAATGCATGAATATCCAAAGAACTTCGGAGGAGTCGCTCTTCAAAATGTCGTCACAAAAATCTAGACAAATAATTCAAAGTGCCTTACTAAGTCGCAATGCTCCTCATCCATTCAAAATGAACAATTAAAAGTGGCTCTATACGTCATAAAACAAAAACAATCACAAAGTTAAAAGCTGCCAAACCGTATGAAACAATAAATGCTACATAACAGTATTGCACCTATTGCCTAATTGCAAATGATAATGTTTAGAGATGATAAATGTGCAACGATTTCTCTACTTCCTTTAAACAGACCAGAGACAGGCAGTGAAGCGAACGGTGAAACATGAAAGAATTCTTCCATACCTCCAGATATTGCATGACGCAGATCCCTCACTTGTGCACTCTTTTCCGATGGCTGTTTAAATAGCAACGCTGTGTATACGTATTCCCACAGGCATCACACTTGTAAGGCCGCTCCCCACCCTGACATCTCTCGTGAAACAACAAGCTGGATTTGTGTGAAAATTCTTTCCCACAGGTGCCACACTTGTATGGTTTCTCGCCCGTATGGACTCTTTCGTGAACCATCAGGACATAACTTCTGGAGAACGCCTTCTGGCAAACCTCACAACGAAATGGTTTCTCCCCCGTGTGGGTCCTCATATGATCTTGTAAGTGATGAGCTAAAGCAAACGCTCTCTCACACACAGAGCAGTGGAAAGGCTTCTCGCCTGTGTGCATCCTTTCATGCTCGATGACATGACTTATTTTACGACTGCCGTAAGGGCAGAACTTGCAGGTGTACATGCCCTCATATCGTGGCCGCTTCCTGGGTTGCAACTTAACCAGTTCGCTTCTTGGGGAAGAGGAGTCGCTCTCGCTGTCCCCATCGTCCCGGAAGGCTGCTTCGGCCAGCACTGTTGAGGAGATCAGAGAAATGAGGCAAGGAAAGTCAGACAACGAAAATCCAATGTCAAGGTGTAAACATAAGATAAGCTTGACAAGTCTGCACTGCCTTCAGGGGAAAGTAGCGCATACAAAACAAGCGGTTCGACTCGTGTTCATATAAGAAAGAGAACTCGGCAAAGAACAATTAAAGCATTGCGAAAGCCTGTTATTAAGGTCATGTGATATCACACTTCAAGTTAATAAAAAATTGATGAGCATTGCCAATTCATGCAGCAAATTTTCATGTGTACTTTATCTTTCATTGAAGCAACTCATCTCACATCCTAATAGGCAAAAGCAAACAATAAGCGAGCCTCTTTTCTGGGCTGTGGAATTGCTATGCCGTATAAAGCAGCAGTATATGCTATGGTACTGTGGAGGTACCATGTAGTTACATCCGTTCATTCTATTAATGTTCTACAAAATGACACTTTAAATGTATGAAAAATCGTACACTACTCGAGTATTGAAGCACTGCTTTCAGTGCAAGAATGCAATTAACAAAACAAATTGCTGACATCTTGTAGCCTCAAGCACCAGACAAGAGCATGCATTGCAAGACAACTGCATCACACTTGTTTTGTTTTGCAAAAATAAAGTGGTGGTGAATGCGGTTAGGTAGGTCGACAGCTTGTCCTCATCTAAATAACTGAGATCCATTTGATGCTATGAGACACTCATTTCTATGATGCTGGACTGGTATAAGAACACTGCACGGAAAATGCATGATCCCAAAATGTGAGTTGGCCAGTGGGAAGAAGTCTCTCTGCAAAGCAACAATGGGCCATTTGCCAGATCTTGCAATGGTTGCCAGCATCGACCTGCGAGGTTGAGAACATAATAAATTGAAAATATACTGTCGCTCGAGTGAGGCAAGCATTTTACCGTTTTTCAACACCCAAAAAACATGGCACACTGACATGAGCACCAAAGGCATATGGTAGCAAAAACAAGTGCTAACAGGGGCGCCCACAAAAAACAGTCACAAGAACAACAAACAGGACCAGTCTTCATACGGCCCGACTCTGTACGTCTCATGGCACAGACGGTAGATATGCTAAAATCTTTTAGAGCGCAGCTCTTCGGCACCCGTTTCCAGGTTGACGGGCGTCGCCTTCAGCATAACCGCGTGTTGCATTATGGGACGCTTCCCATAATGATGTCACACGTGACGTCACGAGGGTAAAATTTTCCCCCAAAATTGAGCAGAAAAAATTTCTCGCTAAATTTAGCACGAAAGTTTCCCCGATAGATATAGCAGAAAAAGTTTCCTGCTAAATTTAGCGGAAAGAATTCCCAACTTAATTTAGCGGAAAAAGCCCCTGCTAAATTGAGCAGAAAAATTTCCCCGCTAAATTTACCGGAAACATTTCCCTGCAATATTTAGCGGAAAAAAATTCATCCACTAAATTTTGTGTGAAACTTTCCCTGGTAAATTCAGCGGAAAAATTTCCCCACTAAATTTTGTGGGAAGATTTTCCCCTATCAATTTAGTGGGAAATTTCCCCCGTAAATGTAGCAGAAAAATTTCGCACTAAATTTAGTGGGAAACATTTTTCCGCTAACTTTAATGAAAACGTTTTTGCTGAATGGGAGATGAGCAGGATGTGAGATGCACAGCAGAGGGTAGGGCATATCCTCCCCTCCTCCTCCTCCTCAAGAGCTGTGCTCTAATTCGGCGTTAGGGAGAATTGTAAACATTTTTAATTTTTTTTTACCATATCTCATACTTGTTTCATGGACACATTAATAGCAGTTTCTTTTCATTTCGCTGAATTTTCAAGGAAAAAGTTCAGTTGAGAATGTATTAAAGTTTGGCATCTATGCGAAAACAATTTATCAATGTAAACAAACCAATAAATAAACACACTTCTTTTCTTAAAGAAAAGCAGAAAATTGATTGTTCACATTTAAGCATTTCAAAAACTCCGAGCTCACGGGGAAACTCGGCTTCTGTAACACCTCCAGGTAAATAATTTTTACATGCATCTAAAAAAAAAAAAGACAATGACAAGGATATTGCAGAAAATAACCTCTGGAATAAAAACATTTTGATGTGTATCTAAAAAAAAAAAAACTTACAATGAGAGGGACTTTGCAGAAAAAAATCTCTGGAGTCAAAAATTTACTCTGCATTCCCAAGTCTTCAAAAACGGCCAAGCAATGTTCTCTTGAGTGTACCACCAATGACGCACACTTATATATATATCTGGTGCTGTACATCCTGTACACCCTCACACAGTACACATGAAGAATGCATGGAACCTTAAGGTGAGCATTGGCAAAAAGGCCCACTGCAACAGATTTGTGTTTACCAATAAAATAATGAAAAAGCTTTAGAGTCCCTTTTGTCTCGCGAACCAATTCACTAGCCATGCTTTTGCCAAGCGCCAACTTTTATATCAAGAGCATGAAGAGCTTTGAAAGGAACACCATAGCCTTGCTTACTTTTCACAAAAAAAAAAAAAAAAAAAAAAAAAAAAAACTTTTACATGATTAATTAAACATCCATCCAAATAATACTGTGCTGATAGATATACAATCCCAAAGCTTATCAAGAGCTAAAAGACATATAGAGAAGCTTGCATTTAAGACAAATGGCAGATCCAGATACTACTATTGTAATGTCCCCAGAGACAGGGACCCTGGAACCGGGGGGGCAACGGTGGCTTGAGCCCTCGCTGTCATTTTCCAGGGGGTGCTGGGCAATATGCTGAGCCCCCGTGCATTTGGCTGAAGGCCTCCCTCTCCCCCATGGCCGAATTAAGGTACGCGCTGAGGGGGCTACAGCCCAGGGCCCCGCGGCGGCCCTTTGCTGGTCCCCGGAAATTTTGAAAAAAAAATAAAAAAATACTACCGTAATATCCCGAGTCATCGCCCACCCCCCTAACGCCTGAAATTCATTAAAAAAGTGGGGTGGGCCATGTCTCGGTAGGTGAGCACAAACACTTGAAAAAAAGCGGAAAAAACCACCTATTTTTTTCTGCGTATCTAGCGCTGATGCACAAGAGATACACCAAACTCAAAACTCAATTTAGTTTCATTGTTTTATAAAAAAAAAAAAAGTGCTCACGAAAGAATATTTCACTATAGCGAAGTCCGTTGCTTGCATACGCGCTAGAAACACCGCCGATCTGCATATAGCGCGAACGTTTGTTCCGTGAAAGAAAGTCACCACTATGTTATCCTAGTTGGTAAAAAAAGAAAAGTCTACAAGAAAATAGAAAAACCGACCAGGCGCAACGAGCGAGCGAGCGGAACAAAGAAGCGGCCAAGAGCTAGCATTGCTGGGAAAGCGGGAAAGCCGGCGGTCGCGTTGGCAAATACTTTGGCGTCGGGCTTGCGCAACTTTCTTGTTTGGTGCGTACATACGTGCGTCCGTGCACGGCGGGCTATCAATGCACGGTTGGGACGCTCTGCAAACGTCTGTGTAGGGCGTTCCAGCAAAGCTTTATTTACGCGTTGGCTTTGCCTAAAATATTGCACAACCGCGGTCGGGACGGGCGGGAAGAAGGAGCGGGTTCGCGGTGACCTTACTTCGGCGGAGACAGACTTTGACCTAACACTCCGCGGTTACATAAACAAACTCTTATTTTGCTATCTCCATCGTTTTCTTTGCGCACGGATACACGACCACTTTGGGGTCACTCACGAAAAATGCGTAAACAAAAAGAAGCGTCTTTCCCTCCATCGTTTTACAGGGTGTCACAAAAGAAAATTTACACGGTCTTTTTTACCGCAAAAATAAACTAGGCATCGCCGAACGCTCTTTCTCCGCCCAAAGGTAGAGAGCTAGAGGTCACAACCAGATGCCAAAGTTTCAGCCCGATCCGATAACTTAATCAAAAGTTATAAGTGGTTTTCTGAAAATTTCAATGTGAAAATGGCGGCCGACGGAGTTTTCAAACACATGGGGCTCTATGGCACCAGAAACCGAAAACAGGCAAAAATGGGCTCCATTTTCCTATTGAACTTTTCAGAAAACCACTTATAACTTTTGATTAAGTTATCGGATCGGGCTGAAACTTTGGCATCTGGTTGTGACCTCTAGCTCTACCTTTGGGCGGAGAATGAGCGTTCGGCGATGCATAGTTTATTTTTGCGGTAAACAAGACCGTGTAAATTTTCTTTTGTGACACCCTGTACTTTGTCACGGACGTCCTCCAACTGTAAGGTCCGCGGCCGCGTCATTCGGGTAGGATGAGTGTTTGAGGATCGCAGAGTCCGCGCTGGGTTATTTGAAGGGGTGGGCGATGACTCGGTGTTTTTTCGGAGATCGATATTGGCCCAAAAAAAGGGTGGGCGATGGCTCGGGGATGGGCGATGACTCGGGATATTACGGTAGTCGGTTTTAGTTTAGAATAGCTCACACCTAAAAGTTGAACAAAAGAGCAGCCTCTGGGCCCTGGCTTTCTGACGTCGCGCCATCCCCCCCCCCCTCTCCCCCACCCTTTTTTTCTTTTTTTAACGGGGAAACAGGGATGCCACAAAGTTACCCTCTTTAGACGAGCTGGCGTTTGTGAGCTCCTTGTAAAAAACTGCACTAGAACAACAAACTGTAAGCGTTGCCTCCCACCCTCCTTGTCGGAGGGAGCAAAGCTGTCGACGCTGGCGGTCCCTTTGAGGTTTCTTCTAATTGAAACCAGACGGAAGGACGGCAACGGAGTCCTCTATTGTACTGGGGCACCCTCGACGCGTTATACGGATGATAGTGGGGGGTTGAAAGGCCAGGAAGTGTTGCCGAAGGCTACACAAGCAACATACATGCTACACATTATTCTTTATATATATATATATATATATATATATATATATATATATATATATATTTGGTCTTTTAGTGTAGTTCCATATGGAAAGTTTCCTCCGAAGCGACAAGTTTAAAAGACGCAAAAACAAAATATCGGTGAACCTCTCGAAGCATTCCTTTCTAACCACTAACAGGCTTTTCAAAAAGCTGGCTAAGATTTCGAGAGACAGTGACTGCAAGCAACTGCTCTGGAGCCCGTGTCTGATCTGCTAGTGCAAGACACCTTTTCT